GGGATTCGTACGCGGGACTCGAATTTGAAGTATAATACCGTTGTTTTTAACAGAAAGTCAATGAAACAGAATAGGCAGCACAGTAAGCCTATCTATTGTTGCTTTCCGTCGTGTATCACAATCAACTTTACACTGCAGGAAGTTGAGTGTATTAATCTGTCAACTATACAGAGAACTTTCTTTGCTAGCCACATATACATGCACGTCTCAGTTATTGACTTCTCGTCTCAGAAAGTTTCGAGAAATATTCCCTGATGAGAAGAGACAATAGTCCAACGTACTAACCAATAAACTAACTAAGTAACTAATTCGACTACGTTTTTATTCAATTACACTCACTAATATAAACATATTTTCTCTGCTGTACTGAATCAAAAAGACCGTTGCAAACAAGAAAATATTCCTTTCGATGAAGTCATCAACTCGGCTGTAAATTTGTGTGTTTATATAGAAAATGGGTGAGAAAGTTAGAAAACTATTTCCGATCGGTAAACGGTCAAATTAATAAAATTACAAAGTCTAATAAACACGAAGATTGGATAAAACAAAAGATAATACGATTATAATTATTGAGGAAGGATGTCCTTTTGTGCACTGATAACACAATAGGCAGCAAGTTCGGATGAAATAATACTGAAACTGAATGGATGTTTTTATGACAACTGACTGACTGAATTTCAACACAGATGTTTGCAAAGAAGTATAAGCAAATTGGTAGGCATATTACTTCTCTCACAAGTAATTGACTTGCTACCAGGGAATAATCTCGTCGACTTAGAATATGCGGACGATATAGTCCTTCTAGGCGAGGACGCTGACAAAATGCAGAGTCTACTGAACACCTTGAGCAACAATCTTCGTATGTTTGGCATGCGATTCGCCCCTGTAAAATGTAAGATGATGCTGCAGGATTGGACTTCACCGACCCCTAGATTAGAAATAAGAAGTGAAGTGGTAGAACACGTTGACCACTTCACTTACTTGGGAAGTACCATCAGCCAGTGCCAACGGGTTGATCTCCGACGAAATCTCAGCACGAATACAGAGGGCTAGGTTCGCATATGCCAGTTTACGCCGTCTCTCGCGTAGACGTGATATCCGACTATCGACCAAAGGGCGTGTGTACTGCTCAACAGTCCGCTCCGTCCTCCTTTATGGCTGTGAGACATGGCCATTGAGAGCGGAAGACATGAAAAGATTAGCTGTCTTCGATCATAGGTGTCTGCGTTCTATCTCCCGTGTGAAGTGGTATAATAAGGTGAGCAATATTGAGGTTAGGCATCGAGTGCTAAGTAAGGCGGGGAAATCAGTCGACGAGACTGTGAAATTACATCGACTGAGATGGTTAGGACATGTGTTACGTATGCCTAGTCATCGCCTTCCTCGACAATGGGCAATGTTAGCTGATATAGGGCCAGGCTGGAAAAGAGCTAGCGGCGGTCAAACGAAAACATGGCACCAGTCAATGAAATCCACAACAGTTAGTCTAAGCCACGTAGGAAGATGCAGACTTCCTGGTTGGGGTCCTCGGGACGGTAAAAACCAATGGTTGGAAACAATTGGTGACATGGCTCAAAATCGTTCTCAGTGGCGCAGATGCATCCACTCCTTGTGACTCATGATTTCCAATTAAACTCTTTTGTTCTTCGTTATTACTATTCCTTTGTCTCACACCTCTGTTTACTGTCTATACTATGCATTTTTCTACTTTCTTCTCTTGCTTTGTGTGCTACATGGAGTGTGGCGACTTGAACTGGCGCACATATGTGCAAAGTTCTATGTCGAAAACCGACCGACCGACCGATATCACCTAACGACGGTGTCTTCGGTGGCTTCAACACGTGCTACAAATGCTGTCCTGATGGCTTCTATACCATTCACTGTCTCACAGTCTTGGGACTGAAAGCGAAACGAGAAGAGGTGGTCAGTCTATGACGTGGTGCCGTAGAGAGAAAGATAGTTCGTGTGTTGCGTTATTATTCAATTGGGTGCGATCCAAGACGTCATAGTAATCCATCCATCCCATCATGTTACTTCTTATTATTTACTCCACTGATGTAATTTAGTGTGGCAACGACTTATGCGAATAGGCCAGGTTCTATAAGACGATAATACGCTCATCCCGCCATAGTAGACTTATCAAATTAGTATATGTGCCATGATTACTTCCCTACCCAAGGCTGCTCACATACTTGGAATAAGAACCCATTCAATGATAACACAAAATTGATAAATACTTTTAAACCTACCGTAATTTGATCATTCAAGCATTCACCAACATCAATTAGATCCTTCAACAGGCTAGACATCATTTCAGTATATTTCTTCTTCTGATTTTGATGTGTATCCTTCAACTGTGACAATTCACCGTCTTTACTATGCATTAAACGGGTTTGTTGTAGTAAGGACTCTTGAGCCTCTTCAAGTTCTTTCGCTTTTGCATCAATCTCTTGAGCCTTTTGGTCATAATTCATTGCTAATTCTTCTAAGGCTTGCAGGACTTCCTTCACTTCATCTTTGCTCGACTGGTATTCAGCCTTGACACACACACACAATGAGTGAAGAAAAAGATCCATTTAGAGGAAACATTTCACAAAAATGACAAAACTGTCAGCATAATAATTCTATCAATACAATACTATGTGAGTTATGTAGACTTCGCTAAGTATTTTTCCTACAGAGCAGACGGGGTGAGGAGGGAGAGAGGATGCAGTAAGGAAGAAACTGGATAACTGACACCACCTAGAATAGAGAGATTAGTGGATAGGCAAAATCCAAGTTGCTGGTTGTCAAAAACGAGTGGCAGTCATCATGTGCTTTAGAAAGAAGAGGGAAATAACTTCAGTACTCTAATACTTGCCGATTCATCATAATTATGAAACGGTTAGACTTAAGACAAACACCTACCCTTCAGTCTGAAAGTTTCCACAATGTCTTTCCACATTTCATCTATTTATAGCCTTTCCCAATTTAGTGTGTAAGAACCACGTGAGTTCAGTAATTTCACTCATCCACTATGAATGATGAAAACTCATGCCTACACCATCATCATCTTTACCAGTAAAGTCAAACCACAGTCATTCTACTACTTCTACTACTCTTACCACTGTTACTGTTACTACTGCTTGAAAGTTCACCAGAATAAGCAAACAAAATAACATGCACTCTGAGGAGGAAGAAAGCACTTTAAACCAGTTTACATGAAAACACAGGAGAGATTCACTGCAAAAATAATTTCTAAAAAAACCTCTTCACAATATGACAGGAAAACACTATTATATCATTAACTAATATCAAACACCACTTTAACAAGAAGCTCATCTGAAACAAGTCACAAGAACATATATGCCCATCACATAGTATTCACATTCAATGAAAAACAAGAATGCAACTGGAGCTCATACATTTTATGTACTCACTCCACTACTCCACTACCAGCCAGTGGGTAACGCGCTAAGAATATTACTTTTCCTACAAAGGGTTTGGGCAACCACTAGCAAGGTACTATTGGTACCACTAGCGCTCACATACAATAGGTGTGACTCATCGACAAATTCACCGAAATCCAAGTGGTCATTGAGTCTTGCCTTCTCTCAACCTCCACCCACCGCCTTCTACTCTCCAATGAAAAGCAACACAACGGACCTCAGAAAACCAATCAAATGATAAAAGCAGTTAATTATAACGGCTAAAATATATCACCTTTCAATACACTTCCATGGATATATAAATTTACATAAAGTTCATAACATGTATTACCACTTACCTGAAGAGTTGTAATTTCTTTTAATTGTCCCTCACGTTCTATACGCAAAGAATTGTTCACCACGTCTTGCTCTTCAATTTGCTGGCGAAGACGTGCAATTGTCTGAGCTTGCTTATTTATTTCATCATCTTTGTCGTCAAGTTGCTGATAAAGCAACTGTAACTGTTCATCTCCAACACTTCCTCCTGAAGCACCGATAGTTCCAAGATTGACATTACCGGAAGTGCGGGCTGAGAAAAAACAACACATGCCGATCAACATTCCATATAGTATTTATTATACAGAAAGAGCATATAATGGTTTAAATAAAACAAAGCTATATCCAAAATTAACTGACAAAGCATCAAATACATTTTCATAACTTCACATACCAGAATAAAAAATTGACGTATATGACAACACAGTGCACAAAGGGAATACAACAGAATAACCACTTCTGAATTGTAACAACACGTTCTTGGTTGCCAAAATGCCATCAGTTCAGTCAGAAATACACACAAACAACAACCAATCAGTCAGTCAAGTAGTTAAAACATTAATTAGTAAGCTTACTCGGTGAAGAAGATACTCCCCCTTGAATTACAGATCAAAGCATAGCTCCACACAGAAGTTTAAGTTTCCGTGCCGGGTCTATAGTTAATGATTTTCACTATTCCAGGGACCTTCAGGTCAGTCAGGCTGTCTAAACACCCCCACATATTCACACCAACAATCACTACACTGACAGAAGTGCACAATGGTCAATTCGAGACTTCCTTCAGTCATAAGCATCGATGAAAACTCATTAATCATGTACATGATGCTGTTACTAAGCTCAATAAGGTGATACTCACGTCAGTTTTGGGCTAAAAAGCTTGGTAGCAACGTTGCAGATGTCGGTGATGAGTAACGCATCATTGAAAATCACAGGCTTCCTCCGATGTTGACGGTATATCTTTCTGACGAGTACCAAGAGGTAACAGAATTAGTTGCAATGTCGAGTCACTACGCTTACTGACATCAATGTAAAAGAAACACCAATACGTCATTCATCAAACTAAATTAGGTACGGATAGTGACAGTGGGCGTTCTTAGTGCAAGCACACTGATCATCGCCAACCGCACACAACTTTTCATATACCCTCAAAACAGCTGCATATACCTGAGTAGGGCTGCTGGAATAAACCAATATCATTCCTCAGTAAGTCGGATGAAGTCAAATTCTACGCTTAGGTCAAGAAATATGTCAAATACTGGACTCTAAAAAACAAGTTTGTTTTCAAAAACTGTTGAGCAGAGAGGACATGATAATACACCTTTGCCCAGAACTGCAGTCTGTGTGCTTGACTGTTTCATTTCCCCAAGTATCCTGGATGCAATATCAACCAGTCTGATCCCCTTTGATCAGCACAGGGGAAGCCTGGCCATCTACATAAATCTGATGAGACCATCTAAGACCCCCCCCCACATTGGCTAGAACACCACCAATTATCCCACTCCACTATTCATCACCCTCATCTTGAAACACCTGAGGAGCTACCCTGTCGGTAAGTTGACGCAATCCGCTTCGTCTTAGATCAGACAGCTTCTGCAACCCTAGCTACAGTTCTACCACCAATGTCTACATTGGGAAAACAAAGCTACCTAAAGTGCTAACTTCCTCACCAACTGAGAAGAAAAATATCACTACTTCATTACATTAACAAAACATAGTGGAGAAGGGAAGTTAGAAGTCACTAGATTCACCGACTTACACAAAACTCCTCAATAACATAAGGTGAAATATGAAATGAAAATAACACACAGTATTAACACAAAGTATTATGAAAGGACAATAACCAACAGGAGACGAAATAGACTACCTGGAGATGCATTTGTGAGGCCAGTAGATCGTGGTGTAGAAGTGGAGACGCTGTCTAGCATTGGTGTACTGGGGACACTGGGTGTAGTTATCGAATCTCTTGTATCGTCTATAGCGCCAGCATATTGATTTTCCGTGAACCATTCAGCTTGACTAACAGTTTCACCTGAAATTTAACATATAACACAGATTATATGACAACAAAAACTACGTTCAATTCAACTTCTATATTTATGCACAATGTTCGCTGGAACTATTACACCTTTCCTCAGTCTATATACGTGAGTTCAATATGATAGGAGTGATTTCCTGTGACCGCATTGTCAATATACCAAAATAGGACATAATATTACTCCACTAGTGATCTTAACTGCAACATGCCATTTCTCCACATTAAATTATAACTCAGTTTCCTACGACCGCCTTTATGAGTTACATTTGACAGATGACGACTGGTGACAATAGCCAGTTCCCTAGGCTAAAATAAGCAGAGTGGGCTTTCGACCTCCTCACCCATTAACTCAACTTTACATACTTAACACAATCAGCCATACATCAACGCACATCAAGCAGATAATTAGACAACAGGATGGAAATAATCTAATCGGTCGTAAAGCAGGATAAAACGAAGAAATAGATGATAATGTAAATAGAGAAATGAGCTATTATAACAAGGATAGGCACAAACCATGAATACACCCCTATCATCACTGCGATCAATTCTGAACACTATCACCAGGAGTTTCTAGCCATAGGTTCTGATCGGCGTGCGGCTGATTCGCTTAAGCGCTCCATTTTTAGTCCATGGGTTCGGAATTTAAATCCTGTTAAATCAAACTCAACCTGCCCAACTTGGTAGCAACATTAATTTTCACAAAATATGTGTGGCTTACGACCCGATACACGAGAAATCTGCTCTGGGCAATATCTTACTTTCCCACTGTGCTATTCATTCACACTCCCATCCTTTACATTCTTTATTCCTACTCACTAAGATACAACTTTAAAAAAATAAGTAAACATAACTATGATACAGAAACAGCTTAAACTGGTAATTCGTACTTATATAATTTTGAATCCCTAATTTTAAAATCTTCAAGTTAAACTTAAGCAGAAAACAGTCACAGTATATCTTACCTGCTCGCCAACGTTTTAATTCACTCTCCAGATGACTTACAATATTGCGCAACTTCCTAACTTTCTCTCTTTCTCGCTCATACCTCCTACGCCATTCATCAGCCGTAAGTTCTTCGTTAACCGTTACCAGATTCTTGATGGTTTTAGCTCGCATACCGAACATTAGGGTGGACTTCGTCTCGGCATCATTGTACCCAGCAGGAGAACAACAAATCACCATAGTTGTTCGTGCATTACCTCCAAGAGATTCTTGAAGAATGCGAGTTAGTTTAGAGTCACGATAAGGAACATGAGACTGAAACAGAAAATTATTTAACAGATCAATAGCTTGATAAGGCAGTAGGAGTCATCTTCAAACAAGTACAACATATAAAGACAAGAGATTCAGGTCACCGTAGAGGCCAAAAATATGAGTAAATGTGACGGATTTTCCTGCCTCAGAAACATACACAGTACAGAACTCTGTTAAAAAGTGAGCACATACAGACATACGTGATCAAAATACAACAATTCGATATCTCATGTCACTTTTTTTATTCTTTTCCATTCCCAGTGGAACATAGGGCTTCAAGCTAGAGGTTTGAAGTTTCTGTAGCAGTGGTGTTGATTTTTACGGGGTGGTGTTGCTGGCGTCATGCCCAACCTCCCAGTTTTGTTGCTGCCTTAGCGAGGTAAAGGGGTGCGTCCGTGGCCGGGGATCGAACCCCGAAACACATGCGTGATTGGCGAGCATTCTACCACTTTGCTACCAACGCATGTGCGTCATAATCACATGGAAATTCAAAGTCAACAGTGACTAGAATACAAGCACTACTACCACCACCACCTGAAAGTATAAACTTACACTTCCTTCCACAAGTGCATTGATCACATTACCAAGAGCAGAAAGCGATTTGTTAATATTTTTGGCTTCGTCCAACACAGTACCCTCAGCGCCTGTCTTCGCAACTTTCTCACTACCAGCCAAATCAACAAGATAAAGTTTCCCATGTAGTTTCTTTTGAGTTTCCAAATTCTCTTGTCGAACATTGATCATGAATACTGAATGGCTCCGAGAACTGTGCTCATTCATGTCTACACATAGATAAAAAGTCACAAATTAAAAACGTAATATTAAACAACCTTAACGTAGTTATAGGACATAGATTCTAAGATCACTTAAATTGCATATATAACCACGTAAGATTCCAGTAGAAACGGTAAGATCAAGTGATAAAGCTGACATATTTGGGAACCCTACTTCGACAAACAGTAGTCGGTCGAAGCAGGATAATACGACAACGATTATAATTTTATCTCCAGAGATGACAAACACTTTTGTGAAATAGCTATTTGCAACCTCACGAAATACGACAGTGAGCAATGACAATTAAATCAAAGCGAAACTTTTAGCATACGCAGAAAATTACTACCTCCAAGAGATGTCTTTCACATTGACACACTACGAATCTAATATTCCTGGAAGCCTCACTAAGCATGTCATCATTATCTTTATGAGAAAAGGTTATTATTGATTCAGTACAAAACACATGCTAACTAGTACGAATACATGGAATATAGAATCAATAAGAAATACTTACTAGTTACGGCTACATGACGGTTAGCCTTCCCCTCATCAATTGCATCGAAAACCTCTTCTGGAGTGGCAACAAACTTTTCCGTGACACCCTTGGAGATTCTCGTTAGGAGGAATTATATCTTACTTTCACGTAAGGAACTCGGTCTTTATCCTCATGCACCGGTAGGTTTGTCTTCGAAACTGAATCAAGATATAAATTAGATCGAAAAATTTACCATCAAGCAGATCACGGATTTTTTCCATGTATATTTCAAAGTAAGAAACCTGAAGATAAGAACAGCATCACAAACATTACCTTAATATGGAACTCCAAGTTTTCGTCCATTTGGTATATATGGTTGAATATATCGTGAACTATCCGCGGAATAACACCTTGAAAGACTGGGTCACCTAAAATACCCTGAGGAGAAACAATCAGAAAGCAGAATGTCATACCTCCATAGTAAAAGTCTTTCCACTCGAAGTTTGACCATAGGCGAATATTGTCCCATTATATCCGTTCAGCACATCTGCAACAATGGGCTTGGCCACAACTTCATACACCTCTAACTGAGATGCCTTCGGCTGAACTACATGATCGAAGCTATAGTTTTTACCCTAGATAGAAGAGTTGTCACAAACTAAAAACCATCAAACATACCCCAAGAGATACAGTTGTGTTTCCATCACCGGGGAATGACACCACGAACTTGCTGTCATTTGCTTTCTCTTGTTCATTAAGTGGCCTCACGCGGCAGATAACTTTAATGCTCTCTGACATAGTCAGCAGGAGAAATCAACAAGCAGCTTTAGGACCTCGCGCTAATATGTAACTGATACCAATGACTTCCGCCATTTTCTCGATAGTCTAAACTAACTAATCTATTGAACGATACTTTTGTTAAGAAATAAATTCTCAGTCTTGATTTCTTCACTTAAACGTACAATATGTAAAATAAAATTAAAACATTCTTCACATACTTTTTGATAAAAATTCACTCAACTTCGAAATAGGGGGTGAATTTCTACCAAATTCCTACCGAATTTCATCTCTTGTGGTGTAAACCTCAGTGCTATCATTTGCACAATCCATGATGATGACTAGTGATTTCCAGTAAAGGCAGGCAGGAAGAGGAAACATGAGAATAGTGACTTGTTATCGCAGTCATCAACCATCACAAGGTGGTTACCCATCGTACATCCTACTGTCCAAGGTAAGACGTCGAACTTCACTCTGATGACAGATTCATCTCTTTTCAGGAGAAGGAAGGGTTGTGTGAGATAAACACGAAGGCCAAGTCCATGAATGACCTCGGTCTCTTTTCCAAGCAAAATCACATGAGATTGTAGCGGTAGGCGATTCCCCAGAATTATTGGCCACATCATTCATCACTGAACATTTGATGCTGACCCTCACTGTTTAAGTCATCCTATTTAGCTGAAAACTTCCGGTCAAGTATCCACGCTAATTCGTACGCTGCCGTGTCACGTTCCCTAGCTAGTTAAGCAACCATCTCGCACTCCAATTTGGTCCCGAAATATAACTTGTAATTTGGACGATCAATTTTGGTGTTTTGCTTTGCCTTTGGGTCTACGCAGAACGAATACTATAGAAGTGGTGGGTATTAGATCTTGAGTTAGTATGCTTCGTACTAACCGTGAACATCAATACCGTTAGCCTCTAAACTGGTGAGCCCTGCTGCGAACTTCATTTTTGCTGAATACACAGACAAATCCAGTGAGTTCGTTCCATTTTATATTTGTTCTTGTACCATTTCCAAACTATATATATTCCGCCATGAATGATCATACTCCTGAGGTCATCCATATTTGCTCAACTGCCAAAGCTATTCAGCTCGTGCCCTTTTTGGCCAGATAATGCTGAATCATGGTTTCAGATAGCCGAGTCTGATTTTAGTGAACATAGGTTAACTGACAAACGTTCACAGTTCTTTGCATCTGTCCACGCCCTACCGCGAAAAATTAACCAGATGAGTAACTGTGAAGATGTTGAGTCCAGAGGTAAGTAACTCGTATGAGTTGCTTAAAGTAACCCTCCTTAGGAGAAACGTTCTCATGGATCGACAATGTGGGCGCAACTTGGAGTTAGGTTATCAGTCGGCTGTGAGCATGCTGAAAATAACGAGGGAAGTCATTCGCCAACGTCACTATGACGAAAAACGTTTCAGAGAACTGCTCTTATCCAAACTGCCGCAGTCAGCACAGGCTGCGCTGGTGACACTTCAGGGCGTTATTTTAAATGACTTAGCTGTTTCTGCAGATAAAATTCCGGAAATAACTAAACGGCCAGTTACTGAAGTATGCTCAGTTGCCAAACAGACTTCGAGTAGGGATACTGCAGCTACAGAGTTATGTAACTTCATCCAGCAGATGCTTAGGTCAGGCATGCCTTGTAATTCCTGCTACCGTCGTCCGAACTCCCCTCAACGGCGAAACCCACGTGATCGATCTAAGTCCAAGCCACGTTCACTAAAATTCCTGACTGGTGTTGGTATCACAACACCTATGGCCAGGAAGCGAAATGTTGCCGAAAACCTTGTAATTTCGGCAATGTCTCAAAGACTGTGGGAAACTATCCCGCCGGCACGCGTTAGCGGCAACCGTCGCCGGTGGCACTAGCCGCCTACTTTACATTCGTGATGTGGTCAACCAGACCCGACACTTAGTCGACACAAGTGTCGAAGTCAGCATCCTTCCTGCTACAGCGGCAGGTCGACAGAAGGAACCTACTTTCATTTTACAGGCTGCGAATGCAAAACCAGTTGCAACCTTTGGTAGGAAATACGTCTATGTCGACGTGAGTTTACGCAAACATATTCAGTAGATTTTCCTTCTCGCTGACGCCACAATGCCCATCACTGGCACGGACCTACTTAATCATCATGATTTACTCGTAGAAATCCGCAAAAACGACTGACAGACGATACTGCTTGACTGTTTATTAGAGGCATCACCTACGTAGGCCATAGCTTGTCACTTGTTAAGAAGAAGACAATCCTTCATCTAACTTTCGAACCGATTGTTGATAAGTACCTGGAACTTATTTGCTTGTCCAACGATGTACGTGCATAACCAGCAATGTTATGCATCAAATCATAATCTCAGAACAGCCCGTAACATCTAAAACTCGACGATTTGCTCCTGACAAACAACGACTCGCCAGAAATGAATTCGACCACATGCTCACTCTTGGCATCATTCGTCCATCGGATAGCCCATGGGCATCCCCACTGCATATGATACCGAAAAAGGACAGCAACGATAGGCGACTCACTAGTGATTACCGGCGGGTGAGCGCAAAAACAAACCCTAACTGTTATCCATTGCCTCACATACACCACTTGACGGCAACACCATCTGGTGCAACTATATTCTCGAAAATAGACTTGGTTAAAGCGTATGACCAAATCCCCATGGCACAAGAGGATATTCCGGAAACGGC